GGGTCCTACTGTTGCTTCCAGAGGCACCTCCCAGGAAGAAGTCTGGGCTCCCCGGGTCACACCTGGTGACATGCGGCCAACTGGGCAGGGCAGTGAATGCCAGGGTTCGAGGATTCATGGCTTCCACTACTCCTTATAAGCGTTAGGAGGAAAAAGAATTTTTCAAAGGCCAGTTCAAAGCAGGGGTGGGGCTTAGCCTGGAGGAGTACAAGAACTTAAAAAAATGGGATGATTACGTGAAATAGGGACACTTGTGGAGGGAAGGTCACCCTGGTGGTATTGAAACACAAAATGCCTGAGACGACTGTATAATAAACAATTTTGTACATCTTGAAGTTTTAAATTAAAAAAATATATATTTTTAATTTTTTAATTTTTTGGTTTTTGGGTCACACCCGGCGATGCACAGGGGTTATTCCTGGCTCATGCACTCAGGAATTACTCCTGGTGGTGCTAGGGGGATCATATGGGATGCTGGGAATCGAACCCCGGTCGGCTGCGTGCAAGGCAAACACCCTACACGCTGTGCTATCGCTCCAGCCCCCCAAAATATATATTTTTTAAAAAATGGGATGTCAGTATTATTTATCAAAAACAAGTTTACAGTCCTTTAGAAACCAGAATCAGGTTTATAACAAATGAACTGACTCCCATTTATAGGGCCTGTGATGACCAACATGTCCTTTATAATCTGGTATTGAAGCCACAAGTCACAGTCTGACTGTTCAGTGTTTGAAATGCGGTGAGTGTGAGGGAGAAATGGAATTTTAAATCTTATTTTACTTTTCACTAGTTTAAATGTAAGCGTCTGATGTGGTCACTGGCTACCGTGTTGGGTGGGCAGCTTTAGGAGTCCCAAGTCAGCGCTTCTCAGCCGAAGGTGACCCCCTTGAACAAGGGCTCCACGTGGAGGCCTGATTTATGGCTGTCACACAGAAGTGGAGGGCAGTGGTGCTAGTGGCCCCTTCTGGGCAGAAACTGGCCAGAAACACGGCTGAGCATCTAGCCCCAAATATCAGCACTGCTAAGGCGGAGACACCCTGTACTAACTTTACTTAGGGTCGGAATTAATGAAATATGAAACAAATGGAGCTAGAGCGATAGCACAGCGGTAGGGCGTCTGCCTTGCACACAGCCGACATGGCCCACCCGAGTTTGATTCCTCCACCCCTCTCAGAGAGCTCAGCAAGCTACCGAGAGTATCTCGCCCGCACGGCAGAGCCTGGCAAGCTCCCCGTGACGTATTCGATATGCCAGACACAGTAACAACAAGTCTCACGATGGAGACGTTCCTGGGCCTGTTCGAGCAAATCGATGAACAACGGGAGGGCAGTGACAGTGACAGTGAAACAAATGGTCTTGTGTAAACAGTGAGATTTTCCAAGCAACAGGAAAAGGTGTGGCCTGTTTAAATTAGCAGGTCTGGGGGCTGGGAAGATAATACAGCAGATAAAACACTTGCCTTGCACATGGCTGACCCAGGTTTGCTCCCCAAGACCCCATATTGGCCCCTGAGCACTGAGCCAGAAGTAAGCTCTGAACACCACCAGTTGCGGTCTCAAAACAAACAAACAAACAAACAAAAAATAGCAAGTTCGAGGTAGAAAGATAGTACAGCAGTTAAGGCATTTGCCTTGCAAGGCAGCCAACACTGGTTTGATCCCCAGCACCACCTATGGTCCCCAAATGCCTCCAGGAATGATCCCTGAGCACAGAGGCAGGAATAAGCTCTGAGCACAGCCAGGTACAGCCCAAAGTAATAACATAAAATAGGTTGGGAGCTTCAGAGATAGCTCAGTGGGTTGAGCGCGTGCTCTGCATGCCACAGGCCAGGTCCAGTCCCCAGTACCACCATTAGAGAACCTAACAGGTCCCCACGCAGTGCCCCCAGTATGCCCAGCACAGAGCTAGGAGTGGCCCCCACCATGGTCAAAACAAATAAAAGAGCAGCAAGTTTTTGCTAAGAAGTAGATGCAGGTGCGTCAGCTAGACTGCGCCCATCACTTGCTGTGGCATCTGAAAGCCTGACGGAGCAGTGTCGAGGCTGTACTCGGCCCCTGCGCTGTCTAAGTGGACAGATGGCCACAGCTACTCTCAGCCCTATCGAGGACTCTCTCTGGCTTCTTGGGGTACTGCTAACTTTACGCATGAGAAAACACATTCTAGAGAAAGAAAAAGCCCATCCGGACAAGGAAATGGCTGTCATCAGAGGCACACACACTCATTACTGCAAGAAAAAGTCAAGGGGGCTGAGCACAGGGCTCCATGGAAAAGCCGGCATGGGGCAGGACCCCGCGCTGATCCCCAGATCACCAGCGCCGGTGGGGGGGAGGGGAAAGTGGGGGGAGCACCAGGTGGTGCTGAGAGTACATACATCCGAGACTGTTCCTTGAAATTTTAGAGGATGGCTATCAAATCGCATGGTTCCTGCAGCCAGTATAAATTATGCAAGGATCGGTTTAAATGGGATCATTCAGAACTGCTCAAAGGGCTCTCAAGTTTATATTAGCAACTTAGGAAGCACTGACCTCCGCATAGCCTATCTTCCAAGAAATAGGAATGATGGACACAATTCAAGATTTTACTTTGATCCAAACTACTGTTCAGAAGAAAAAATCCTCAACGTTCATATTCCAGCCATTTAAGTTCTAGCAATATTAAGAGAAATTTTATTCCTGCCCATTTAGTGGCAACAGAAATTGTTCAGTACATGGAGGGTCCTTTATTGCTTCAGGGAATGAAAAAATAAGACATAGTCTTGGTTGTGAAACTCTTCTGAGTTTTTTTTCCCCCATACTGGCCTAAGGTAAAAATTCCCAGCCCACACATGCTGAATTCCTAAAAAGATCAGTGCAATTTTTGTGAACAGGATACAGCCCTCTGCGCTGGAGGCACCAAGGACTCTGCAGAACTTCATCTGGAGAGCGTGAAAGGTCTTCTATCATCAATTAACATTCAGGGAGCACGCACTGTAATCTCTGAATCAAATGCCACAAAAATAATATTTAAAGCAGGATCCCGGCCCACTCTGTTCTGCAAATCTGCCCCGAGAGAACTATTCTTGGAAGTGAACACCCTGGCTCCTGAGGTTCCTACCTGAATTCACACAAAGCCCAAGTCATGGGAAGGAGACCACGAGCAGGACAGTTGGAGCAGCGGCCCTGCTTCCGAGTCCTGTCACACGCCACAGAGCCATGGGACTCTCAGCTCCTGACACTGGGCTGACCCCGGGAGCCCGAGCAAGTCTCTGGTGGGGTAGCAGTAATTTCTAACAGGTGATGGTGTCCCTGCTCTGTCCCCACTTGGCGCCCAGAGGACCTTCTGCTTCCAGCTGTGATCAACAAAAATATCCCCGGGTTGAGGGGCCGCAGCCATGGGAGAGGAGATTGTGTGCCCTGCACTTGGCCGGAACAGTTTCGATCCCGTGCATCCTAAATGCTCTCCCTGAGCACCCCCAGGACTGATTCCTAAACAGACCGGTGGGAGTGGTCCCCAAACAACCAATCAGGGGTAGAGAGAGGGACAGTGCCACGGTTAAGGCATCTGCAGCCACCCATGTGGCTACCCAGCATAGCCTGGTCTCCAGGACACCACTGGAGCAATCCGACAACACGGTGCCAGGATGGAGGCCACCACCTCTCTGCGCAGGTCCAAACACCTTTCCCCAACCCCCGAACAAAAAATAAAGGAACCAAAAGGTCAACTCCGGGCAAATCACAAGGCTGGAAAGTCAGAAGGAGCACTGGTGGAGGGAAGCTGGCACTGGTGTGTGTGGGGGGAGTCATCCTCGGTCTAAAATTCCTATCAATAACTTATAAATCACGGTTCTTTAATCAAAAAGAAAACCCCATGACCTTTTCCCTTCCCTGAGTGCTCTCCGTGCAGATTACACACAAGCACTCACCCGGAAGGGGGCTGTACCACCGCAGGGGCCCTACAGATGTCAGTTCCAGCGGGGACAACTAGGACCCCCCTCCGCCTGCCACCTCCCCCAACTGTCCTGCGACAAAGTGATGAAGTGGACAGCAGCTGCTGAGCGCACCGCCCAAGCAGAGACATCTCTTTCCTCGAGTCCCGCCCGGCCCAAACCCAGCAAAGCAGAGACCGCAGCACCCGGGCCCAGCCCCGCCCCCGGGTCGGTCGGGGGACAGCGAGGACCCATTTGCCCATCCGGGCACTGCACGGCGCTCTCCGCCCAGTGGACTCCGGGTGGACAGCGCTCTCCCCTTGCCACGGGGGGGGGGGGACCCAGAAAACCGCGCAGGCGGGGCTCAGGCTCCCTGCCCCTCCCTCCCTAGGCTGGCCCGGACCCGCTCGGGGGCCCCGAGCACCCTCGGGAACGGGCCCTGGGCACCTACGGGTGCGGGCCGGGCCCCCCGCCCCTTTCACGCAAAATGAGACAAAACGCACAAGTGGGGCCGCGGGCAAAGGCGCAGCGGGCAGGAGGGAGCCGACCCTGGGGCCCCGCTGGGGGGGATTCCTGAGCACCGAGCCAGGAGTAGCCCTGAGCCCGCCGGGTGCGCCCCCGCGTCAGAAAGACCCCCGGGCGCAGCCGCGACCCGCCCCCTCCCCGAAGCCGGGAGCCGCCGCGCAGGCCGACGCGGCGCCCGGCGGGGTCTAACCGCCGCTCGCCCACCCGGCCCAACCGCGGTCACGTGGGGGCGCGGGCCCCGCCCCCGCCCCGCCCCACCCCCTCCGGGTCGGACGCGGGCGCGCAGAAAGCGGCGTTTTCCTCCCTTTTCTCCTGCTCCTCGCCCTCGCCGGCGCCCCGCGCGACGCCTCCGAGGGCGCCGTCGCCCCTCCCCGGGCGGACCCGAGGCCCCCGGGCGGCGGCGGCTCCTTCGCCGGGGCAGGAGAGCGGCCCCGAGACCCCGCGGCCCCGCCGCCCCGCAGCCGCGACTTCCGGCTCGCGACGGGCCGGCCGCGTCGGCCGCGGCCCCGGCCCGGTCACAAAGGCCGCGCGCGGCCGCCAAACCGCCGGCCCGGCCCGCCGAGCCCACCTGCTTCTCCGGGGCCGCGTCCATGGCTGGGAAGGCGGCGCGCCCGACGGAGACGGCGCTGCCCGCGCTACTTCCGCCTCCCGCGCCCCGCCGCCGTTTCCACGCTGGCAGCGCTGACGTGCCCCGCGCCCGCCGCTGCGGGGCGGAGACCAGGACGGGCCGCCGGGCTGCGCCGCCGGCGGGGAGCGGCGGCCGCGGGGAGGCGAGGCGGGCCCTGGGGGCGGGGCCTGCCGCGGGGCGGGGCCTGCGGGGCGGGGCCCGCCCGGCTTCCGTCCTGGCCGCTCCTATCCCGGCGGGTGCCGGGGGGCGGAGATGCGAGGGGTGTGGGGAAGCCACTTCTAACTGCTCAGAAAGGGCCTCAGGCCCCGGGGTGGAGAAAAGCCGCATCACAAATTATCCTTCAGACAGAAAATTGTCCGGAAATATCGCGCGCCTGCCTTTCCGCAGCTCCTTTTCCAAGTTCTCCCCCGCCTTCGGAAATGGAACGATCCATTCACTGCGGAGGGGCGGGGCTAGCGAGCGCCCTGCGCACGCGCACTGCGTTGGTTGCCGGGTGCGCGGCAGAGCTGCGCGTGCGGCCTCTCCCGGTGACAGCTGATGGGAAAGGGCGCTGATCTCAGCTGATCGGAGCGGAGATGTTTGTTTCGTGCCCTCACCCGCAGGCGTCCAGACGGAGACGAAGTTTGAGACCAGCGGCTCAGGGTTCTTCTCAAGGGCAGGCCAGTCAGGATGGGGCTCTCTGTGGGGCGTAAGGAGACTGGTGGTCGGTCTCTTCCTCCAAGGAGACTGGTGGCCGATCTGTTCTTCCATGTTATAGTCCAGCCGCCTCATGATGCTTAGCTCCATTTCACAGTAGCCGTGTGGGTAGGATTTGGACCCAAGTTTCCTGACGCAGCGCCTGTAGCTTACGCAAACTGCCTGTGAAATGCTTCCACCCCGTGTTACCTGGGTTCCCCGGCAGGCAGGGTTAACGCGGTGATCAGTATCCTCCTCTGATGTCGCCGCCCTCCCCTTGTTCATCGACTTGCTCCAGCGGGCCCAGTAACGGCTCCATTTTGAGACTTCTTGCTGCTGTGTTTGGCATATGGAATACTCTCGGTAGCTTGCCAGGCTTTTGCCGGGCTGGCCAGATACTCTGGGTAGCTTGCCGGGCTCTCCGAGGGGGCGAGGAAGGAACCCGGCTGGCTGGCTGGGCTGGCTGCCTGCGAGACAAGCGCCCTACCAGCCCCCTCTCTGATAAGGAAGGGCAGGAAATAGAAGGCCACCAGGGCGCAGGCAGTAGAGCCCATTACCGCTGGAAGACCTATGGGCTTGCCGCTGCATTTCCTCCCTTTTGATTGGTTGTGTTGCTTCCAAAATCTTGGTGTTTTTACGTCGTGATTTTAATTTTCCCCTAAATTTTGCCAAAGCACCGTGCTTTACAAAGTGATTCGTGGTTGGGTTTTAGACACACAATTCTTCATCACTCATTCCGCCAGCATTGTCAGCTTCCCTTCACAGGTGATCCAAGGTTCCCTCTCCGAGAGGTTCCCTCTCTCATAGTCACTATTTTGTTTTGGGGGGTTCACTCAGCAGTGCTCAGGGGTTACTCCTGGCTCTGCACTCAGGAATTACTACTGGTGGTGCTCAGGGGGCCGTATGGGGTGCTGGGAATTGAATCCCGCTCAACCGGGTGCAAGACAACAGCCCTATCCACTGTACTGTCCCTCCAGCCTCATAATTATTTATTTTGAGCTATGCAATTTGTATTTGGAATATTGACCACTTATGTCAGTAAAAGTGTTTTCTACCAAGGGAAGTCTTGAATCTGGTTTGTGTGGAGTTTATAAAGAGAATATTCAGATTCTCTGAAGAATGACAAATTTTTGTCTTCCCAAAACAAAATTGCATGTGCCTCTGCTTAAGCAGAACAAGTCTCCAACACTTTATTGTGAATAATTTCAAGTATTTAGAGAAGTTGCAGAATGTAGTAGAGTGAACTGAACGTGTACCTTCTGCCTTGGTTCTACAGCACTGATAATAGTTTCATTACATAAGGTCTGGATCAGCATATATAAAATATCTCTATATATATTGGGCTCCACCTGGCACTGCTCAGGGCTTACTCCTGGCTCTGTGCTCAGGATCACTCCTGGCAGGGCTCACGGTGTTGGAGATCAAATCTGGAGGGCCTTGTACAGGGCAAATACCCATCTGCTGTTTAATCACTCCAGTCAAAGGAGTTTTCCTTTGGAGCCCAGGAGAGATCTATACAATTTCTGAAACTGTACCTAAAATTGTGCGCATGTGTGTGCATTCCCATATCTTCTTGTTGAGAATATACATAGCTTTCATTTCCTTTCCTTTTCCACTCCTCCTCTTCCTCCTTCTCTTCCACCTTCTCCATTCCCTCCTCCATACCAAATAGTTTTCAGGGACTATTTCTGGCCTCAATACCTGTGCTATCGTGTACTATCTCTTTGACCCCATAGCTTTCATTTCATACTAAAATCTCTCTCTCTCTCTCTCTCTCTCTCTCTCTCTCTCTCTCTCTCTCTCTCACACACACACACACACACACACACAGAACTCCAAAATGTCAAACCCATTTGCCTCTTGGATGCAGAGAGAAGCTGCTAAATTAAAGCAGAGCATTTTTCAGGCTAGTACAGACATATGAGAGAAGTAATTTAGGAAGCCAGAGGCAAAATAGAAAAGTTTAATTTCTGTTGCCATTTGGCCTTTCTCTCCTGATACAGACCTTTTTTTAATTTGTAAGCAAACATTAAAGCAAGTAAGGAAATCAAATTCATATTTGGGGTGATTTTTCCTGTGTGTGTGTGTGTGTGTGTGTGTGTGTATCCTGAATCATATTAACATAACGATATCATGGCTGTTGTTTTTTAGTTTTAAGTTTCCCAAATCAACTTGGTAATGCATTTAATGTGTTTATTCTTTACTGTGACAACATACACCTCATCTATTTGTATTTATGCATCTTTTTCATCTATTTGTGGCATTTGGAGTCACTCCCAGCAAAGTGCTTCGGCAGTGCTTGGGGGACTTCCTGGTTGTTCTGGGCTCCCACAAAGTCTTGACCTTGAGCCTCCTTTCCCAGTTTCCTGATTTGGTTTTACTTTTTTAAATCAGTGCCAGACATGCGATCCTAGGCCATATACATTCGTGGAAAGTGCTTTACCACTGAGTTACATATCTGTCTTCATTATGGTCTTCAGGACTATACCTGCCTATGCTCAGGGTTTACTCCTGGCTCTGCTCTGTATTGCAGGGGTCACTAGAGGTCGAACCTGGGTCGAACCCCTGTGGAAGGCAAATGCCTTATGCCCTGTACTATCTCTCTTCGACTGTAGAAATGTTAATTTTCTTGCGGGGTATGGTGCCGCCAGCAGGTCAATCTGTACTTGTGAGGCGAGTGCATCAGCAGCCTGATGGCGCCTTCAGACTTCCAGATACCCCAAAATTGCTGCTGTGCCTTTGGCCAGACCCCAAAAACTTGGGGCAAAGTTTACCAAGAAAGTAAATCGCCAAAAGTTAGGTATGTGGGAGACACACCCACAAACCACCTCCAGCTCAGCTATATAATTGGAGGCGATCCCTCTCTGATTCATGATCAAGCTGCTTAATGGTCATGATCCCAGAGATTCAGAAACAAATCTTGAAACCCAACAGCTTTTGGCAGAAATGCGTCCGATTCCTGCAGTAAGTTACCAGCGCTGGGCCACCCCAGGTGGGAATAGGTTTCGTGCCTTGGCCTGTTCCCCCTGGTGGCCTGGTGGCTGTCATCCTCCAGAGGCCACTGTGTAGTCAGGTTTGGGCCCACAGTGACGAGACACATGGAGCCTCACGGAATGGGGGTGGAGCCGGCCCTTTCTTCCCCATCCCAACGAGATCCCAAGTCGCCGCCCACAAACTGCCTCTCTGGCTCCTGATCAAGCTGCTTAATGGCCATGATCCCAAGACTCAAAAACAAATCTCGAAACGCAGTGACATTCAGCAGAAATGCGTCTAGACCATGCAGTAGGTTACTGTCGCTGGGCCACCCCAGAGGGAAAGGGTGCTGTCCCTCCGCCTGCTCCCCCTGAGCAGCTCAGGGGCCACCATCTTCCAGAGGCCATTGGACAGTTAGGTTTGGGCCCGCAGTGATGAGACATGCGGGGATCACGGGATGGGGGTGGAGCTGGCCCTTTCCTCCCCACCCCAACTTGATCCCAAGTCACCGCCAACGAATGGCCTCTCTGGCTCCTGATCAAGCCACTTAATGGCCATGATCCCAGAGACTCAGAAACAAATCTCGAAACCCAATAGCTTTTGTCAGAAATGGGTCCAATTCCTGCAGTAGGTTACTGGCACTGGGCCACCCCAGGTGGGAATAGGTTTCGTGCCTTGGCTGTTCCCCCTGGTGGCCCGGTGGCTGCCATCCTCCAGAGGCCACTGGACAGTCAGGTTTGGGCCCACAGTAAAAAGACACGTGGGACCTCATGGGATGGGGGTGGAGCTGGCCCTCCCCCCGCCCCCCCCCAGTCGCCACCCACGAACGACCTCTCTGGCTCCTGATCAAGCCATTTAATGGCCATGATCCCAGAGACTCAGGAACAAATCTTGGAACCCAGCAGGTCTGGGCAGAAATCTCTCCAGATTTAAGTGTTAAAATTTCAAAATTTCAAAATTGCACGGCCACTACTGCAGCCACATGACATCATATGTTATTCATAACCAGCAATAGAAAAATTGTCTACTGTTGCCTTTTCAGCAGATCTGAGTGTTGGGGTAAAATCCCAAATAACAACAGTGGGTCTGGTGTCAAAATATTGAATGTAATCAAAGTAGAGAGAGAGTAATGTGGAAATCATCTGCCCCACAGGTGGGGGGAGGGTGTGGGATGGGGGTATACTGGGGTTTTTGGTGGTTGGAGAATGGGCACTGGTGAAGGTATGGGTGTTTCATTGTATGACCGAGACTTAAACCCGAAAGCTTTGTAACTGCTCTCACGTGATTCAATAAACAAAATTATAAAAAAAGAAATGTGAATTTTCTAAATCCTATTTTTTGAGTTTTCATACTTGTTTTAAAAAAATAGAAGCCCTGGGGCTGGAGCGATAGCACAGCGGGTAGGGCGTTTGC